AAAAAAAAACTCAATATAAAATGAAATCATCCAAAGTTGGGCCTTTAAGCCCATTTAAGACTTGGGTATTGGGCATAAAAATCTTTCGAGTGAGCCAGAACAACGTGGCCCAGTAATTATAGATTAGGTTGAGGAAAATTTTTTGGGCCAGTCCAATAAATAAGTTACAGTCAGTTATAATATGTATACTGAGTTGGGCCTGTTAAAAAATTTTCGCCCTTATTCTGCCCCTTGCATTTGCATGTATATCTTTGCTAGAAGCCTAGAAGCACCCGTTATTATCTTCAACATTCTTTATTTTTTCATTCGGAATTTAACATCTTCGAGTTCTCCTGTGGACAACAATAGCGAAGCTAAAATCTATTTAGTACTGACAACAACTACAGAATTTCCAAAGTTTTCCAGTCATCAGTGGTTGCTAGACACTGGTGCTCGTGTTCTCCAGAGGCAGAGTTCTTAATGCACACTAATTGTTCAACCATAAGAAACTAAATGAAATACAAAATGGCAGAAAGCTCAGAATCTACCGTTCCTAGATGTAATTACCTTGTACAATTTTCTTTTCTATGAACTTCCCTAAATAATCATATCCATGGAAAAATAAGGCTTCGATTTCAGCTCTTTGACCTCTTTCAACCATTAATGCCAACTCTTCTCTGTAATTCTCCTGTTAAATACCATTTAAGCTTTTGTCAAGTCTAGCATGAATATGGAAGTTTTGAAATACATTATCAACAATGTAATACTGGGCAAAGTGTTAGGATTTTGGGCAGATGAATAAGATGGGATCCATGGTCCAAACCTGCAATATTTTGGAAGAGATCAAGCTTTTAGCAATTTGCAAGTCCCGTGGCTTCAAAGGAGCTAAAGACTGTTCAGGTATCAGTTGTAGATCATCACCTCGCAATCCCAACCACATCACATTGCAAGCTAAACAAAAGTTACAAATCATAATGTATAAATTGTCGATTTACATTCTGAAGAATCTAAAATCTAAAATGGATGAAAAAGGATTTAGCAGGCTATCAGAATGACTTCAAGAAGGTACCATACCATATTTATAAGCCTCTAGACCCATTCCAATGCTGCCAAACTTGTAAGTGCATAGTATAGCCAGTCCAGCTGGATTCCTAGAGAAGTTTTTAAGCCCTACATGTATCAGTATTAAGAGGATTGCTATTGGCTATGGTCACTTTAAATCCATATTATTACAAGCTAACATTTAGAGGATAAGAAGGCAAGGAAATGGAAGAGATGAACAGTCGGAGTTCCTGTCTCACTTTACACATGATCAAGTAGTAGGAGATTACTACATAAGGAGCGAAACATCTACTTCAGCCACCGGATTTTTTTCTTAAAATAGAGCAATTGTACAACAGGTTCAGGATGGGATAGAAGTGGACCACTAGACCCATAGGTGATTGGCCGGCCAGCCAGCCACTCAACCTGTGCTCTTATGTTAAGACTTAAGGGTGACTGGGTTTGAAAAGAGATAATGAATTCAATTCATAAAATTTTATCCTCAAACTAGAAAATAAATTCCATTCATAACATTTTACTCTTCAGCAAGAACAAGACATGGATGATAAGATAAGAGTGCTAACTTTGAACCATAATAACATAGTGAAGAATGTTTTTTATGGCATTACAAAGAAAGAAGCTATCCATACCAGTCAACCAGTGCTAGAATTGGCAAGTCTGGAAAAGCCCAATTCATCCGGTGAAGAAGAAACCTATGTTGCGCTTAAGGTTAGATTTAACAAAGGCCAAATGAAAATAAATTTAAGCCAGAACAGCAGTAGACTACAGCTAAGTGACTTAGTCCAGCAGATGGAAGAAAGAGTTGAGCTTAACCTCAAGCAATACCTTGTTGCTATATCAGGATAACCTTTAGCAGTGATAAGAATGCTTGGAATGTGATTGAATATGCGATCCTCAGCCAAACGCTGGAATATTGCATGCTACAAAAAGAGAAGTATGTCAAAGTTTTTTTTAGCTAGGGAACTGTAATAACATAATGAAGTCTGGAAGTTAGTGAAGAAAGTACCTTCTCCACCACAATGATATACCGAGCATCTGTTTTCATCAACAGATTCTCTAACAAATGCAGATCACCAGAGATTGTATATCCAGACGATCCACAGGCAGAACAATCCACAACCTCTTGATTTGGCTCCTATCACATGTTGCAAAGAGGATTAACGGGGAATTAACACAAACTTGAGATCAAGCATCCTCCAATATCAGGATAGCATGCCACTCCACTTAAAAGTTAAAACTGATAGACATATAAGAATCCCAACATAAATCAATGAGTACTGTAACATATGTAGCCCCGTGTCCATTAGTAAGTAGAATTATGCAAAAGATGGGGTATTACACGAAAAGCAATAAAGAAGAATAATAGTAAAGGCAACTATAATGCCTGAAGCAACAGACGCCCAGCCACAAGCCCTCTGCTAGATGCCATGATCCCAAGACTGTAACGACTACACCGAAGCAAGGCAACAACATCTGTGCCACAAAATTTTAAATAATTTATGCATTAAAAATGAGATCCTGAACCAAAGTATGTCATGGAAATACATCCTCAATTAACAATTTAGTATTTAAAAGAGGAAAAGCGACCTTGAATCGTTCTATTGACCTGCAACTGAGATGAAAAGTAATCCGGCGAGTCACAAAGTAACTTGTAAAAGAGCTCCCTTTGCGTGACTCGTTTCTCTTGGAGGAGAATTTGCAAACACATTTCCATTACCTTCCACACTGCACTACAAATGGAATGACAAAAAGCCTATGGATTAAACTTTTTCTTTGAAGAACAAAAAAGCTGCCAAGGATCATGAATAATACCTCTAATGAAGGCTTTAGAAGCGTTTGCTCTCGTCAAGGACCTCGTACAAAATGAATGTGACAGAAAAATCCATGAGACATCGGTAAACATTCCTTGGCTTACTCGGCTGTTACTCAGCTTCCTATTAACCTATATCAAATTCGAGCAAAAATCATCCTATTTTTGAGATTGAAGCCACACAAAATATAGAAATGGAATGTTTTACGTCTGCAGATTCCTCATCAACCAAACAAACAAAAAATTGCACAAACTGAATTATTGTGAGAAATTATGCGCGTTGTAAGGGAATTCATAGTAGGTTGGTTGGCAAAATCTGTGACGAATAGATGAGAATCAAGAAAACTGTTGTTACCAGAGGGAGGTTTGAGATTGCTGGATTGGGAGAGTTCAAGATCTTGAGGAAATTGAGGACTGCAACTTGGATCCTGGCTCGGACCTGAAAGAGATGGTTCGTTCTAAGAGAGAAAGGCCAAATTGATTGATGATTCGATGAAGAAAACGAAAATTACCTCGTGAGGAGGAAGGATATCGGCATAGCACAGCTGTTGATCGGCGAAGAACCTCATCGAGGAGTTGCAGAAATCGTCCATTTGCTTCGCGTGAGTAGAAAGAGTGGACAGCCAGAGGAATTGGCGCCACAGAGAGACGGTTTTTAATTCCAGCGACAGATTTTTCCCAAAAAACAAAAAAAAAAAAGGAAATAAAAGAAAAAAATATATATTACAATTGTTTATAAAGGATTTTTTTTTTTTTTTTTTTTTACAAAGGGAATTACTCTCCTAGGGATAAAGGGAAGGTGAAATTGAAGCAAAATGGTTTGAATTTCGATAATATAAATAGGAAATTTATACAGTGATCACATCAATAATACACATAAGTTATTTATAAAGGAACTTAAACTTTAATAACAATTAAAATTTTTATTGCATCTTGCTAGGTCACCTGTGGCTGCCAATGTAATTCCAGCAATAGATTAAACTTTAAAATCATAACTTGTGGCATCTGAACTTTCGGGTTAACTAGCATCTTGTCAATTTGAGATGTATTTTTCTTTTTTTATGGGTGAATTTCGAGTCCACCTCTTGACAACTTGTTAAAAAAAAAAAATTATAACTTGTGAAATCAGGAAATGAGTCATGGGTTGCCTTCTTTATTCCACAAATTTATTTCATTTAATTTATTTAATTTGGTGACTAAATGTAACCTAACTATTATGCTTTTTTGCACTCAATTTTATAAATTAATTATTAATTATATTTAATATTTTAATAATAATTTAAATTTAAATTATGATATTATCATACTAAAATTTTCTATTCCTTTGCTACAAATTGTACTTGTTAAAAAAAACTATCCTGCTCATTTGTTATCCCGGTCAGGCATTATTCAAGCCAAATAAGAGAGTGGATGGGAGAGGACATGGTGCAATTCCTCAGTTTTTAAGGAAAAATTGACATACATATTATTATTATTATTATTATTATTATTATTATTATTATTATTATATTTCTCAATTTTTACGTTACCTTGCTAATTCAATGAGAAGAACGAAATGATAATCTAAAGTGTTTCTTTCCAATGGGAAATTGCTAACTCAATGGACTTTAGTTTAATTAATTTCTATTTCCATAATTCATAAAGATTTTTTTATTCGATTTTCATAAAGAATTTTAAACAATGTTTTACTTTAGAAAAAAATTTAAACAACCAATTTTGTCAAAAGCGGACTTGCTCGAAAAACCTGCTTGATCCCCCAGCCCAACATCAAAATGGGTTTGAGCCCAAGTTTTGAGCAGTTCAACTCGGCCCTACCCAGGTCAAATTAGAAATCCCCGCTCTTCACACCCCCCTTAATCGGAAGGCGAACCCCAACGGTCAAAAAATGCCTCTCCAATCTCTTCGTAGTCTCAACCGGTTATCTCAGCCGCCCTGAATCGCGATGGGCTTTTCAAAGACTCCACCAACCGATCCGCCGTAAATCGAGAACCCCCGCCTCAGATTTGCCGTCAACTTTCTTGACGCAGTGGCCGAGACCAACTAGAGATGAAAAGGCGGTGGCGTACCAGGGCGGAACCACGAAGTCATTGCTCTCATCCTCTGATTTGTAGCCTTCTTAGTTTCAGTTTCGATCTTAGTCCAAAATCCGCTATGAACTAAGAGAAAGCAGGGAGCTTCAAGTCGCCGGC